GAATACAAAAAGAAATAAAAAACAGACTACAGAATTTTTCGTAAGTTCACCGTTTTCAGGCCCCATTAAAAAAACGCGTTTTTTCTTTTTTAGTACTTTCATCACTTTAATTAAGGATGATCATTATGCTTCCTGCCCCAGTACGTAATCATCCTTTAGTTTTGTCATTATTTATCAGATCCTTTTAATTTCCTAAAAGATACTTTAATTGAATAAAACAAACACCAATAAATACATTAGTTAACATGAGGATAATTGTTCAGTATATATTTATTCGATCTTAAAAGTTATAATGAATTAAGAATAAACTTACCAGCTGCTGCAGGCACAGGGGCCGGCGGTACCGAAGTCTGATTTCCACTTTCATTAGAGGCTCCGTTGTTTGTCACAGACTGTTGCTGTGGTTGCGACTGTTGAGAGGACTGTTGATGTAACTGTTGCGTTTGAGGCGTGCTTTCCACCAGATTTGAAGGTGGTACTGAAGTTGTGGATGTCCTCGACGTCACACCGTTATTATCCCGGTTCTGCAAGTGCTGGGGCTGTTGTTTTCGCTGTGCCATAGGATTTCTGTAACCACCGCGATACGAACCTCGAAACCCTCGATTATAGTAACCTCCGCCAATGCCTCCACCACCTCCACGACCTCGGAAATAATTACTATAAAAAAACATAGTTTCAAGGTAGAAATAGTCGAATGTGGTAAATAACTAATTAAACTAAAATAGTCTACTTAACGCAGTTTAAGATCTCAATAATAGGAAAGCGTAATATTTGTACTCATAATAATACACACTTGTTACGCCTCGTTGAAGCCACACCGAATGTTTCCGAATTAAGTTTGCGTTCAGCACGCCAGTCGGTCCTTTGAGATCGTCCCTTAGACCGCTCAACCGCTTCGCATGATATGTTATCAAAAAATGAGACGGCTTTGTTATAATAAACAGTATGTGAATCATCTTCTTGTTCTCCTTCGCCCGCGCCTGTCTCGTTCCCGGAGTCATCTTTTTTTTCTGCGTCTCCGTTAACTACGTCCTTTATTTTAAGCTGAAAAATACGTTATTAGAAACATCAGAAAAGAATACCAAAAAAGAACATTTAATCAATAGAAATGCAATAAAGCAATAATAATTATTCAAAATATAAAATTCACACCTTTTCTAATTGGCTTTTAAGTTCCTCGAACTGTGTGTTAGCCTGTTCAAAATCGTAATCGTTTTCAAACTTAAGCGTGCTTTTAGGTTTTGCTGTGCCGCCAAGACCCCCTTGTTGTTGTTGTTGTTGTTGTTGTTGCTGCTGCTGCTGTTGGTGGTTTGATTGTACATTACGATGATAATTATTTTGAGTACCAGCTCGCGGACGACCCCGAGGTCTTTGTTGCATCGACCCCCTTGGCTGTTGCTGCATTTGGCCGGCCCATCCTTGCTGCTGTTGCTGTTGTTGTCTGTGGCCCTGATTCTGTGACGGTCCTCGATTTTGCAATGGAACTGCTCTATTTTGGGATCTCTGATGGTGTTGTTGTTGTTGTTGATGATGATCCTAGACAAATAAAAAAAAAATGGTTTACTTTAACTGAAACACAATCCTAACAGCAAATCGTAATTATTTTATACCTGATGTGAACTGGTTTCACCTCTGGAGTCCTTTCGAGGTCTTTGTTGGTTTCGATGTGTAGGAGGTTGAATAGGTTTAACAGTCTTCTTGTCGTCCTTTCTGGCGCTGCCAGTTTGAACACTCTGATCGGCCGTGGGTGATTTACGGGAACTGAGACTGGCAGGAGTGGTACTACGAGATCCGCCCCCGATCAAGTCTAAAACAGAAGCTACAACTCTGAGACTTAAAGAAATTCAAAAGGAATTCGGGTCCCAAATGCAACCATACAAAAAGATAAAGCCAAGTTATGTCAATTACTGCTGTTGTATTTTTATTTAAACTAAAACTAAAATAAACAAAATTCGCATAACATAAAAACATTCATCACCCATTCTTGTACACTTTTGAAAATGAAAGAAAAATCGTTTTAAAATAACTACTACATTAAAATATATTCCTTGTTTACTCATATGAATTAATTTAAAAAATTGGAATGAAAAATATGTTTTTCAATCAAAACGTAAATGTGGATAATTCAAATTCTATTGCAAGTGGCATGACAAACTACAGTAATAGGGGAAGTGCAAATAAAATAATATTACAAAAAATACTATCAGAAAGGTGGGAGGACGTCAAGACGTCAATCTTTTTATACAGAGTCTTAAAAACACTATACATATAAAAAACAAGAAATGAAAAAGAGTACCTGCAAAAGAAAAAAAACGGAGTTATAATGTGCTTGCAAGAATCCTAAATTAAACAACTCATACAAACTTCAAGCAATATAAGGTTACCTACAAGAATTTGAAGAAGTAACTACTTCAGCAAATAAGTACTATAAAAAATCAGAAAGCAATAATTAAAATGTAACAATAGCAATAAGCAAAAGCAGAAGTTAAAACAAAAGCCTAAGATTGTGCAGACTGGTCTGTAGTTTACCATGTTCACTTTGTCGCGGGGGCTCAATAGGGGCACCGGGAGTGAATTCTGGCGTAATTAACTCACTTGGTTTACCAGTAGATGCAGCTGCAGTCTGTATACCCCTAAAGTCTCTGTTCATCCCAGGAGCCAGATTACCTGGCGCCATGGCACCTATTATACCCATTCCACTGTATCCAGATCCAAACTGTCCCATCTGAGGACCCATGGGCCCCAATACTGGGTGAGAAAAGCTCTGAGATTG